GGGGGGGGGGGGGGGGATACTGCAGCCAGCCCGCCCGCTCACCTGCCAATGAAGCAGAGCCTGGGGTCCTTAATCAGCCAGGGGCCTGCACGATGAGAGGTGTGTGTGTGTGTGTGTGTGTGTGTGTGTGTGTGCGCGCGTGCGCGTGCCTGTGACAACGACAACCTAGCAAACAGACACTATGCCAGGTGATAAGGGGAGAGATCAGGTGCGGCGGCTGGTAGGTGTTTGCGCCCCTGCCTTCACCCTTTCCCGCGTTAGACTTTTTTGCCGCCACTGCAGGAACGTGCCAGGCGAAGCAAGGCGGTCGCAGGGGCATCTTCATACAGGACGGCGGGAGGGGAAATGCAGGGCCCCTCCACATACAGCAAAGAAACGCTCACAGTACTGGTCCATGTCGTGGATGATGGACGAAGCAGCTTCCCGGAAGGCGGCCCCCTCAGAGGGCAGCACCAGCTTGGGGTCGAACCCCGCGCCGATCCAGGTGGGGTGCAGGGGGTCTGCCATGTTACGGGTGGGCGGACGCACAATCGGTGCTAGGTTTGTGGCGGAACCTGGGATGCCACACTGTTGAGGGGTTGCATGCGGTTGAAGGCTGCTCAAACCTTTCGATTGTGCCCGTCAGTCTCCACCGGGAAGCCTGCCCTCCGGCCACCAAATCGTGCACCCCTGCAGCCCGCGGACGCCGGCGCAGTCGTGCGCACGTGTGGGCGTCTGCATGATGCGTGCCAGTGCCAAGTCGACCCACAAAGGGGCGCACCTGTGTGGTGGGCTGTCAGCTGATCGTTCAAATGGTACACATCGGTTCGCTCCCACCTGGTTGTGGGCAAACGTAATGGTGGAGTTCTTCCGGTTTAACTGCCAATTTTGATAGTAAGGGCCTTGGCTGCAGCGTTGCCTGCAACCACGTGCAAAATCCTGCAGCAGAAGCACCGACATGCTGCCAGGGGAAACCCCATGGCGGGCTGCGGCGGCAGCGGCGAGGGTCGCGGCAGCGGCGGCGGGGCCGGCGGGGGCGGCAGCAGCAGCAGCGGCAGCAGCAGCGGCAGCGGCGGCGGCAGCGGCGGCAGCGGCAGCAGCAGCAGCGGCAGCGGCGGCGGCGGCAGCGGCAGCAGCAGCGGCAGCAGCAGCAGCAGCAGCAGCAGCGGCAGCAGCAGCGGAAGCGGCAGCAGCAGCAGCCCCCGCCCTCAATCACCACTTGAGCTTGTTGTGTTTGCCTATGGCCAGCTGGTCCGGCCGCCCCGCCCACACGCCGGCCAGGGTCAGCAGGCGCGCCACCATCGAGGTGCCGCTGTTGTGAAGCCCCAGCACCAGCAGCTGCCGCCCGCACGTCCCATTCAGGCGGAAGGGGATGCGCGAGTGGTTGCCGTACACAGCCTGCGGGCGGCGCGCCGATAAGAGGGAAAGGAAGTACAAGGCGTTGTCGGCCAGCGGCGGTCAGCCATGCGCCACGTGAGAGGTCGCACCACACGGGGCCTCCATCGTTGCGCGATCGCTCGGTGGTACGAGGGGCATGGGGCGTGCCGCGCCTCGCGCGCGCGTTCTGCTGCCCCGGGGGCCGATTGAGCAGCTGGGGCTTGAAGAGCCAGCATGCCCTAGCGCGCGTGCTGGATCCAGCGGCAGCTCGCCTGGAATTTGCATGACGCGCAGTACGACGTTGGGCGGCGGGCCCCCCAAAACAGCCCGTCGAATCCTGATCCAGTCCCGCCGCCCGCGTCCGCCGACGCCAGCTGCCTCTCCAAACGGGTGTGGTGGAGCGCCGCACCGGAGAAGAACGCGAGGGTGGCGGCCAGCAGCAGCGCCGGGAGGAGCCGCCCCAGCGCCGGCCGGGCGGCGAGGCGGCGACGCCAGCCCTGCCCGTGTGGGGGCGCGTCGCCCGCTGCATAGTGGGCGCTGCGGCGGTCGCCGTTGCTGCCGTTTCGGGGTCTGCCGTTTGGCTGCAGCAGCTGCCTGGCGCCGCCCTGCCAGACGAAGTTGAGATGGTCCTGCGGCGGCAGCTGCGCCATGCCATCAGGCCGCGCAGCGCGATCCACCGCGGCTGGCGTCAGGGGCGCCTGGGGCGCGCGTGCGCGCAGCGGTGCGACGCCCCTGCGGCTGCCTCAGCGTGGCTGGTGACTCTCAGCGCTACAATAGCATGTCGGTTGTACTATACACTGTCGTACACACTGCGGGTTGAGATGGCCCGTCAGTTCGTCCGAGTTGGGTTTCGGTTGATCTGCAGCTCGCCGAGCCTCGTGCTTCACAGACAAATGACGTTCAACTCATGTCCTGTATGCAAGGCTACGAGGCTATGATTACCCTCTTTGATTAGCACTGGTCACTTGCGGTCACCTGTCGGCCAAACTCTAGTGGGGCTCGCCCGTTGGCCGGTGTGAGGCAATGCTGGCAGTACGGTGAACTGCACGTGCTGTTGTTGTTGATACGAGTCCCGGTGGAACGGGTGATTCTGTGATACGAGTCCCGGTGGAACGGGTATGGGCAGGGATAACGCACTCGCTTTTTGCACTCCGCTGCTTGCCGCACACTTGTTCCTTTGATACCCGGTGAGACGGTGACGGCCGACTACGACTCCAAGGTAGTTGAGGTATAATTCTATCTGTTGCGAGAATGCTAGGGCCAACTGGTTGATCATGCATATACCGATGTGGTCTGACCTTGGCTGCACTCACTGTCACCTCCACACTGCGAACTGCAACCCAAGCCTGCGTGCCTGCCATCCACGTGCACGCCATTATGCCTGTATGCTTTAAGTGCGCGTGTGCAGCTTCATGGGCTTTTCGGTGGCCGCAGCTGCTCTGTGCACCGGATTTGTGCGAACATATCACATAAAGACACACGATCCTCGCATTGTTGTTGCTCTCGCGCAGCATATGCTGGTTCATCCCGTTCATTGAAGCCAGATGCCACTGCAGCACCCTCGACCAGTCGCGCAGAGTAGTCCAGACCCTGATCCAGACCAACAGACTCAGAGGGGGGTTCCGCACAGGTCACCCCTGCCGCGGCTGCTGGCCCTGCTGTGCTGCAGCCGACGGACGACAATCCGCTCCTGAAGTGTGCGCTGCGCACCGCTGTTGGCTGGTGCACACCCTGCTGCGCTGCAGCATCCGCGCGTTTGTGATGCCAGCTTTGTCTGTCTGCCTCCAACACAACCTGTGTGGCTGCCAGACGCGCCACCGCAGCTGCTTGCAGTACCCCTGCGAGCATGTGCGCCGCCAGCTGCTCCAAAGCAAAAAGACTACTGGTGTGTTCGCATGTTTCTTGACACATGGTCACATGGTGGGCACGCTTCACCTAACTACATGCGTGCAGGCGTAGCTGGCAGAGCTTGTTTTCCTGTGGGGGGCAGCCACCATAGCACCTGCTGCCTGAGGGACATTGTTGTGCCTGACAAGCTTCTGTTGCTGCTTCTGCCACGTGCTCAAAACATGTCACACTGTTACCCATGTGATGCCCTTAGATGAAGCCATTGCTTGCTGCAGGCACCAACAGATGCAGGCATGCAGGCACCAGACCCACATCATCAGTGCCTAGCTGACGTTGCATGTGCTGAAGTCGCCCTTGCAGCTGCCGGTGCATAAAGGGGACACAGGGAATTAGAAGCTCTATTTCAGCTTGATCAGCACCACTTTTCGGTTGTGTCATGCGTCCTGTGCCACCCAAGGAACAACTGCATGCTGGTTGCAGTCACCACAGGTGTCCAGGTGCCCTCCTGCACTCTGCAGCACAAGGCCTCAGCCCGTGTTGAGGATTGAGGGCGTATCATAGCGTTGATAGGTCCCTTCCTATACTTTTTCGTAACTCAGAAAATGGCGAGTCTCTGTCGTTCATGCGGCACACAACGCGCGGTGGCCAGCACTTCCGGACAGTCGTCCTTCTTGCCACTCGTCACTCCATGTCATACGGCGAAGCAGCGCTCCACAGACGTGAGGGGTAGCGTGGATGCCTTCGGCGCAGCTGCGCCCGCAGCGGCTGCCCCGCGCTGCATGCCGCTGTTCGGCCGCGCGCGGCGCGCGCCGCGTGCGGCTCGCGCCGCCGCTGCTGATTTGCAATCCCAGCAGCAGCAGCAGGAGCAGCAGCAGCAGCCGATCCCTGACACCCTCGGCGTCGTCATCGTGGACCACGGCAGCCGCGCCGCGGCCTCCAACGACATGCTGCTCGAGTTTGTGCAGCTCTACAGGGCCACCACGGGGCACGCCCTCGTGGAGCCGGCACACATGGAGCTCGCGGAACCCACCATTGCAGACGCTATAGGTGCGCCCCTCATCCGCCACACCCTGACTTCCGTTGCACCCGTGGCAACGCACCCGCCCCTGCACGGCCGCATGCAACGCGGGGCGCCGCCCTTGCCGGCCGCCGACGCCGCAGGCCCCACTCCCCCTTGCGCCCCTTTTGGCTCGCTCCCGTAGGCCGCTGCGTGGCGCGGGGGGCGACACGCGTCGTCGTGGCGCCCTACTTCCTGTCGCGCGGCCGCCACGTGCAGAAGGACGTGCCCGCGCTGGTGGCGGCCGCGGCCGAGGCGCACCCGGGAGTCCCCTGCACTGTCGCGGAGCCCATAGGTGGGCGCCCCGCCTGTCGGCACTGCAAAAACGCGGCACCGCGGGCCCCAGGCCGCCGCGAACGCCCGCCGGCCGCCTGCTGCTCCACCAAGCGTGTCGCGGTGCCGCCGCCTGCCGCAACGCCCCGCTTGTGCGCCGCCCCGACCCATCCGAGACGCCAATCTACGCAAATCCTGACAACCCACCCTGCTCGATTACATCAATTGGATGATCTGCCATCTCTAAAGTATTGTTCATCGCTGTCTAATCCATGCAGGCATTGACCCCCTGATGGTGCAGCTGATCTCCAGCAGGGTGGCAG